GTCTCAGTCAGATGTGAAGTATGTACGTCCATGTAATGCAGGATAAACAGTAGCCACGAGGAAATGAGGTCAGAGTATCAGGCTGGCTTACAGCAGGAGAATAAATGGGTCACTTCTTGTTGATGTTGGTCTGGGCTGCCTGAATGAGCCCTGGACTTGTGACTTTACTTAAGAAGAATGAACAAATTCCTAGCAACACTAACACAGTATTTCAAACCTATAAATATTACATTTTAATAATGTTAGGTATTAATAATCTCTTCCACTCCAGATAAAGTTGGGTTGAACTGCAAAACCAGTAGATGGCAGTATTGCAAGTGGCAGAGCTAACATTAAAGCTACTTGATTATTGTTAATAATATAATATATTATTATTATTATGTGATAAATGTAGGTTTAAAATCTGTGATACGTTATGATGTTGGTGTATACGGTATGTTGGTGGTGTGCAGCTCCACAGCGTAGCGGGTGCTCTGGGCGTTTTCTTAAAAAAAAGTCTCTAATCCGTCTCACTCCATTATTCCCCGTCCTTCAAACCCTGTCCTCTTGCTCTCTTTGTATTCATGCTCCATTGTCACCCTTATAAAATTTAAGCACCATATGTTTGCCATTTCATTTACATCTCCCCTTGATTTCACTCATTCTTTCTGCTCCGAGACGTTTTTATCCCTTTTTTTTCCTCCTCTCTTCTCATCTTCCTTTTTCTCACGAACTCTTCATTCCAACTACACTCCACCGCTTCACACTGTCGACGGAGCAAAAGGGAGAAAAGTGTTTTGGGGAAAGTAATGATCGGTCCTGTCCTCCAGTCCGTCAACTTCATGACAGCTGATGGGACAAAAGACCCCTTCAGTGTATACTTTCAACTTGGAAAAACAACAGTGATGTTGGATTCAACACCATGTTTCAAGAAAAAAAGTCTCTCTTTATCTCTTCCACTAACAGTAGCAAAGAAAACAACCCTCTGACTCGTGGCTAACAGCAAGTTCTTTTTTTAGAAAAGGTTTCAAACGGACCAACAGCTAGAGAACAACCACTCTGCCGGAGAACCCTGGAGATTGATGACTTGATGTGAGGTGTGCCTGAGTAGAAAGATGAAGAGAAAACAGTGACACATTTCGATGCTGACGCTCGGACAGCCGCCGCTGTAGTAAATCAAAGTGATGCTAATTGGTGCAAGTGCGGAGAACAGACGAGCCAGCGCGGTAATAGCTTCAGAAGAGATTGATAGCAGCAGAAGTGAAAGGGGAGGTTTAAATGATGGCACTGAGACCTGCTGTGATGTATGCTTTGGAGACAGTGGCTCCATCTGAATAGGCCGGAAAGTGAGCTGGAGACAGCAGAGTGAAAGCTGCTGGAAGTGGAAAAATCAGGATTGACAGGATTATTAGAAATAAGCATAGCTAAAATGAAACAGTTTAGATGTTTAAAAACAGGGAGGGTAAGGATGTGCTCAGGGAAGAGCAGCGAGCAAGCACCTTGGTTTTTATTTCAGGGTAAAGATCAGATTCCTGTGTTCCTGATTTATACCTATATTGAGGAACACAAATGGACAAAGGCATGTCACTTGACACCTTTCTGTCTTTTCTGTTCTCTGTGTGGTGATCATGGCAGTTTTTCTTCACATTTCTGTTATATGTAATTCTATGTAAATTCTGGCCTAAAGTGAAACTCCAAGTTACGGAGATAAAGTTGCAAGGCAGGAGGAAAAGACAAAGAGAGGAGACCAGGGATAAGGTCAGATGAAGGTGGAGCATCGCCCTGAAAGGTCAGAACACACGAGTTGTATGATTGATGTGATCAAATGAGAGAATTTTTCTCAGTGTGACACTAAAGAGAAAAATCTAAAAGAGAAGTGAAAATCCTGCAGAAACAGTGTGATTCTGTTAGCTTGCTCCACCTTTATGTTTATGACTTTGTTTGTGGGAACCAAAAACCTCACGCCTGCTGCTGCTGCTGCTGCTTTTACAGCCTCGTCAGTGTGTGCACTGTGGAAACAGGAATTGGAGCAATGATATAAGCTGGTGTAAAGTGATGATCAACAAAGCCTGAGCTGGAGAGATGACAAAAACAAACAATTTGCAGGAAGGAGACACCACACCTAGGAATCTCTCTCTAATACCTGACTGTCACGTCGCTCCCTCTCACCAGGATAACTCACACAGCACCTAACAGTGGGTGTTCATAGGAAGTTACGTGCGATAAAGTCGTCACTGAAATAACCACAAGGCTGTTCACGGCCTACATTCAACAACCCTACATACGCACAAAGACACGTATACCTTTGAGGTGACACACAAAACAATAATAAAGAAAGGAAACAGCGTCAGGTGAGTTTATGATCCAACGTCTGGACTGCTTATAGTGTATGGTGTGCAGCTGGACGTCATTCACAGCCGCTCGCATATTCACAGACAGCCAGCAGATATGACTTCATCCTCACTGTCGCAGCCATCTGCAGGGCAAACTGGGCAACTCCATTCAAATCTGATATTGAGTGGAGCCTCGACACAAACTGCAACCACACACACACACAAAAATAAATAGATAAAAAATAGCAGACCCAAGGTTATTTACTTCACTACTGAATGAAGCCCTGAGATATTAATCTTCGCACAGTGGGAGTTTTACATTCAGAGCGGCAACTGCAGAGCTAATAACCCCAAATGACCCCTCAGCATTGAAAGTGTGACTGTAATAAGAAAGTCTGGGTCCAAGTGGATTTTACCCCACCTGAGGCCTGCTGCCTAATAAAGCCAGCCTTGTGTGGTTGGTGTTTATAATAAGCTAGTGCTTGGCTCACACACAGGCTTTTGTAACACCAACACTGCTGTGTGAAACATACACAGGTTTGGTTCGACTTGAGCAAAACATTATGCACACCATGAAAATAGTTCTGGAAACTAATTTATAGCCAGATAACTCTGAACTTGGCAGGAAATAGAAGCTAGCTCCACAATCAATTCTTCAGAAGCAGGGGTACTGCCATTGGCCAGCTTCCCAGAACTACAGTGTTGTAGAGTGTAGGAAAAACAAACTCAAAGTATGATGAGCAGAAGTGGGCAACAGGTAATTTGAAAAACTAGAATTTTGATGAAATACATTTTAAAAGGCAATAACTTCAGCAGCCATTTCATGTAAATACTGCACATATTTTGTCACGTTTACATACGTTATTGTTTGTGCTACTTGCACAGCTAAGTGATCAGTTACTTTGTACATGCACGTACAAACATGCAGTTAAAACAGCCATGTACAGCAGGGCTTTAACATTTATAGACATTAAGCTAGTCAGTGAAGTACATGAAGGAGAGCAACATTTCCCTCAAATACACATCTGAGAGGAGCGTCTCTATTTTTACTTTCCCTCCTGCATTAATCTTTGCACATTTTCAACATACAAATCTAATTTGAATGCATGGAGCCTACATGGAGTTAGAAACTGGATCTCGATACTTCTATAAGGTTGCCCATCACTCACAATGAAATCTAATAGAAGAGACCAATGGTCCAGGATAGGTGTACTCAGCTGTGGAACAGACATGATGTCTTTACATTATCCATCTTGCTAACACCACAGGGCTTTTCTTTCAGGGAGAGACCAGTTTCCTGTGTTCCTGATTCGTACCAATTGGTGAGAAACACCAACACACACCGGGAGAATTTTCTTGTGGTGCAAAAGGCATTGCATGATGGGAACCTTTGCATTAACTACTGTTCAACCAAACATGTATTGCTAGCCATCAGGGACTAGCTCTTCTTTAAAAAACGTATCAGTAGCAGTAATTGGATATGGGTTGGATTACCAAACAGACAGCCTCTACATCAAGATCAAAATATTGTGCAACGAATCCCTCAAATGTATGGCTTGACTTCATGCTGCCCCAGGACCAGTCTATCTAGAAGACAAAAAACATGTGCGCTAAACGACAACACGACGGAACACCCCGTGTGATGGTATCAGATATCACCATTGCCTTCTTCAAAAGGAATGTGAAGGCGTTGACAACCATCAGATCATAAGGCCTGTTTTCAAAACACGCTTTCCCTTCCTGGCAGGTGAGTGTCCGTGATGTGTGTCTTATATCACTTCTAACATGCTCTTCAAAGATTTGCTGTTTGCCTCACTAGAGAGAAAAAAATGAGAGAGGAAAAAAATTCACATGATCACTCACTTAGGCCAAAAAGTGATACATTGAAACATAAGCCTCAACATCCTGAGAACAGCACACACCAGTGCATGTAAGCAGACTTTCTGCTGAAAGAGGGGTTTTTTTTCTCTTCTTCTTCTTCAGGAGGTGAAGGTTTCTACTTTTGCTTTAACTGTGCTTTTCTCAAGCAGCCATTCACTAACTGTAGAGCACAGAATGAATAAATAAATCTGCATCAGTTGAATCTTTCGAGCACCAATTATGAATGTACACAGGGTGTGCAGGGACATGACAGCACTAACCCAGAGTCACCTGATGTTCCTGATGAGAGCTTAAGATAACCTAGGAGCCACAGTTGTCACTGCTCCGATCACATCAGATCCATACTCACTTTGCTGTAAAGATGTTGTTAATATACAAAGACTCCGAGATGATGGATTACTGAGTTCTTCAGACTTCGATCCACTTTCGTCAATTAAATAAAAAAGACAGTGCCACTTGTGTTTTTCTTGAACCAGCGTGTTTTGAAAGCCGGGCTTCCACCAAACCTGGAATTTCCTACGGTTCTCTTTGGGTGTTGTTTGATGACTCCCCGTCCTTTGGCACCTTACCATAAGCTCATATATTGTTACCTGTTGGCATCAAGGCTAAACAGTCAGAAACTCTTAATGTTTTTGTGTCAGTGCAAGAAAAGAGCGACTGTCTATTTATGTCAACAACCTAAAACATAATTGCTTTGAAATTCGATTAATACCATGTGTTACATATGTTCATACTTATGTCAGGAAGAGAAACAACCTCTGTGTTCAACCATGTTGTTATGTTCTGCGTGTGGTGTAAAATACTCACGATCTAAGCCGTTGATGTACTTCATGGATATCTCACAATGTCCCCACACGGCGCTGACAATGGGATACAATTTCTTGCCCTTGAGTCCCCTAAACGCCACTCCCAGGTACTGTCCATCTACCATGAAACTCAGGGTTCCTTCGTCCATATCCAAAATGACT